ACAGTAGTAACAAAAGGAACAGGACCAACAGGAGACAGAAGTTACAACAGTAACGGGAGTACTCGCAGTAACAGCAGTAGGAGTGGGAGCACGAGTAGGACGCTGAAATGGAGTAGGAGGTGGAGTCGGAATAGGACTAACTACGGATGTTTTCCTCCACTGCTTGAGCTGTAGGGGCTGCTTCGTGGCCAGCAGCTTTTCCCTTTCAATCTAGGAAGTCTCAGGTTTTGGTAGGTTTGCTGCCATTGCCCTCACAATTCTGACAGTTTCTGGTGAAGCCTTGAAGGAGCGCAAAGAGCAGGTACTCTTCCGCCAGTTTGATCCGCCGAACAACTGCAGCTTGGAATTGGCAGAGATTTGGACAGTTGAGTTTGTATAACGCTTGCGGCTGCAAGTTCTCCTTTCTGGATTCGGATTTTTGTCTTGGATGTAGTGTGCTTTTTTTTTTTTTGACAAAACGCATTTGGGCCCGCTTGCTGTGTGCTTGAGGCTCCAGCGTAGGCCCGCGTTGGCTTGTTCGTAATGCTGCCTGACTGTGCTGGATACAGCAGACCCAGATCTTTGACACAGTGCAGCAATTTATCTGAAATGAAAGGCTACATTTTGCTGGAGGGTGCGGTGGACGTACTAATATACAAGAAGAGCAAAGACCGGAGCGCTGGCCTCCTGAGGCGCCCTTTAATTGATGCCTGCAGCATGGGAAGGTTTGGTTGGGGGTTTGTGTCCTTGGCGGGTAAAGTCTAGCATGCCTCAAGGTTTGAGGCCGAAAGCTGGTATTTCAGCAGCCGCCCCAAATAGTTATTCTAGGTGACCTTTTAGGGTTACATTCAGAAACAATGATTCAGGCAGCTTTGAAAATTGCGGCTTCGCAATGGGTCTTCCTGTTCTGGGTGTTGTTATGACTAAGATGCTTCCGCTGCCGTGAGATGTCTTGGTTGAGGTCCAATACCACTCCTTCACGGGACCTGATGTGGACTAATGCCGTGTTTGAACCTTGACCCCTCGACACTAGCAAGTTCCGGTTCCTTCCGTGGAATGTTAGCTTACACGCAAGACCCAAAGCACATCCGAGAAGATGGGCAGGAAGGATGATCAGCCGACACCGCGTGGACAGGAGACGACTGCAGTGAACCTTATCGTTCCTGGCAAGCTTGTGGAGTCAAGTCATGATGCACTCTCCAGGAGTCGTGTGCCGGCCCCTCTACTTCCCAACTAGTCCCTCGCTGTGGGTTCCAAACATTGGGCCTGCCTGGTATCAATGTCCAAGTTTGGGGATTCTGGATGGAGGTGGGCTGCAAGCCGGTTTCCCTGACACCAGGAGCCCGTTGGGCAAAAGACCACGCTGACAGAAGCTGAGGCTCAATGGAAGGTGGCAAAAGAGGCACCCCTCGGGTCCGCATCTAATCAAAGCTGCAGGATATGCAGCCTCTGAACGAGTCCTGTGGATATAGGGAATGACTGCCGTCACGGCGTCCTAGGTAGGGTCCCGTGCGACAGAAGTCCTCCTAGTCTCTAAAGCCACACGCCCACCTGAATCTTCTTTGGTTGATCCAAGCAACACTTGCCTCGACTGGTATTCAGAACAAGAAGGCTACCGACACTGCAGCATGTCTTGTGACGCCTGGCATGGTGACGGTCCTCTTGCTGTTTTGCAGGTGGTCAGGTTTGGCAGTGTATTTATTTTAAGTCCTGTAGCAATTACAGGTAGCGCTTGGCAACATGTTTGTATCTGGCTATGGCCACTCCAGACCTACTTTCCTGTAGCCAGCAAAACCAAGAACTCGTTGCACAAATCTGCAGCGCCTGATGCTTTTCAGCTGTCTGTATCAAGGCTGAGAAGGCAAACAAAAGTCGGGGCATCAAGACGAAGAAGCTCAAGAGATGCTTGCCAAAAATGGATTTGAACCTGTCCCAGTTTGACGCACGACGGTGCCTGTACCCCACTACGCACGTGATGTGGTGTTTGCGGCGGCGGCGGTGGTGGTGGTGGTGGTTATGGCGGTGGTTGTGGTGGTGGGGGCAGCGGCGGTGGTGGAGCTGGGGGGGGTGGGGGCGGTGGCGGTGATGATGCCGGTAGGAGTAGCATGGGAGAAGTAGCAGGGTTTGGAAAAGTCGGAGTAGTAGGAGTGGGAGCTGCAGCAGTAGCAGCAGGTGCAAACATAGGAGGGGGAGGAGTAGTAGATTTACCGTTGCACTGCGTTGATCACGGAGGTTGACAACCAATCGTTTTTCTCAGAAGCACGTTTTCGAATTTTGCTAAGGCTTGAAGCAGATTTTCATCTTGACATATGAGTAGTATTTTTTGGGATACTATAATACCCAACATAGAGTAAGATTGTATCCTCCTTTTGGGGTATAGTGACTTATACAAGGAATGTAATCTTATTAGGTTTAACCACCAAAAAACGCTACTCATATGTAGGACATGTGAGTACCTCTTTCGGGTATGCTAGATTCTTATTGGTTCTTTTTGTTGGACTCAGCTGACCAGCGCTGTTCGCATGTCTCTTTGGCTTCCATGTTTTAAAAAAGATCGTGAAACACGTCTCTCAGAACTACGTTTGTGCTCAACACATGATAAACAACGTACTAGACGTTTATGTTTTCTTATGTTGCATTCGGATGACCAAGATGTTAACAGCTGTGACGAATGCATCCCTTCCCTTGCATCCATATGACGGATCATGTTAACATTAAGTTAACATCCATGCTATCAGATACATATTTGTCTTGCTTGCATGGTTGGAACTTGATGGTTCTGCACAGCTCAGAGAAAAACATCTAGCAACATATTGCTCTGACTCCGGATGTCAGGACCCAAAATCACTTCTGAAATAATCAAATTGGCCTTGGACATGGCTTTTCGGACCCCGCAACTGATGTGTAGAGTGTCCAGACTTCCAAAGATCTGCCTAAAGAGCTGGAAGGGCCGTCAACTTTGAGCATCGGCGCATCCTGACGAAAACTTTTCAACCAACCGTCGGATACATCACGGGCCCGTAGTGGTGGTGGCAGCCATGATGACGACGATGGCAATAATGCTGTCTACTGCTGAGAAGTAACATTTGGTTGAGGTCTTACGCACTTTGAAGGTACCGAAGTGTTTCTTGTGCAAGCTGCATTAACCCTAGCCGCCATTCAAGTCCTGCTTCTTTCATCATCCCCAACGGGGGGAAGACCTTACATTTGCAACACACCAGCGGTTGAGTTGATGTACCCTACCTTTGGATGCCTTCTCCCAGAGCTCAAACTGTGATTTGGAAGCAAGGCTTCACAATTGACAACGGTAGACTTCAAATAGTCTCTGCAAAGATTCATTCCGGCGGGCCATCGTTCCTTGCAGCGAGGCAAGTTCGATCCTTGGCCTGGCGAATTCACCCGCTATAAGACCACTGAGGGCTTCAGCACCTTCGCCAAGGCCGCGTTTGAGTGCTCAGGCTATCGGTGAGATTTCGAGGTTTGCGCTGCTAGCAAGGGACTCGTGTCGGGATGGTTTGGGAAGGAGTTTACTCGCTTGGGTCTACATCCTCGGCTCCGCAGAGAAGAGCAGAAAGCAAGAGGCTAAGGAATGTCGGTGTTTAGGCCTGAGCCATTTTTTGGAAACGTCCCTGACCTTTCTCAATATCCGTAAGGTGAGCCCCACGGATCCAAACACGCAGCCTCGACCCTGAAAGCAGTGAGAGTTTGGTGCACTTGCTTCCGCATGCTCCCGTCACGAAAAATAGCTGACGCATTGAAATGTAGAGGTCCTGGTAACATGCCTGCCAAGCTGGCTTAGCAGCCCAGCTGCAGACTCCCACAAACACTGGGATGGGCCTTGTTTGGCTTCAGGACTCCAAGTATGGAAAGTTGGTGACGACCCTCAAGCCCCTTGGCTCTAGCCTAGCGGTAATATTAGGGAACAATGGGAAATCACATGGATAAGCAAATGGTCAACGACGTGGAAGCTGGGTTTATATAGTGTTTACAGGGATTTGGATTTCCCAGAATTAGGGGTAATGCCTTTGGGCTTTCAATTCCAGGTTAACCTTAAAAGAACTCACCTTTAGGTCAAAGTCCTGGACCTACACCCTATAAACCCTAAACCCTAAAGCCTACTTGCGAGGCCCTGGAACTTGAGGTGGGGACCTCAATCCAGACCCCCCAACTTGGATGATCCTTATTAGTTGGGACCCCCAAAATGGTATCCTTAATTCTCGGAAACCATTATGAACGTGCCCAGTTCCCGTTTAAGTTTCCACTTGATTTTCCATTGTTGAGCTGATATCCATCAACCCTGTATACTGCCTTTAAAGTTGAAAGGGGCTTCGAGTTTCCGTTTCATGTGTCATCTTCTTTCCCACCTGAGGCCCGGAGCTGTGGTTGGAGAGCTGGGGCTGCGAAACAGTGAGCCACGGGCCGCCACGATTCGATGCGCTGAGAGCCATGGAGAGAGGTTTGGGTTTAGAGCGGGAGAGTGAATATGAGGATTTGTATGGGGGTGTGTACGGGGATTATATTATGAGGGTTTTAAGGATCGACCCCCCCACTCCCCCTGAGGTACCAGTAATTTTTACTAGGTCGAAAGCTTTTATGAAGGTCGTGGGAAGGTTTTCAGGAATTTTGCAGCTGTTTTGTGTAAGTTGACGGTGGTCTGAAGCTGAGACACGAGGGCGATTACATAACTGGCAACAAGTAGGCAGACTCGGGATGATATTCCTAGCGGGATTTGCAAGGAGTTTTTCTGCATGTCATTTTTCTCTTTCAGATGATGAACAAATGGCCCGGCTGCGGCCTCCAAGGGCGACCCGCTTAGGAAGCATTGTCACCGGTAGCTTGAGGTGCATGGTTGATTCCTGTCTAAAATTTCGTGGGACTGGGGTTAAGCATTTTAGCGGGAAACAATTGGCTCGCAGTTCAAACTTGCTGGGGCTTGCGCTTAGCATTCTTATTTGAAAATTGAAACGCCGTAGCCCTCCAGCAGCCTGATCTCAAAAAAGGTGTAGACGTTCTTTACAGCCATGGCGTCCTGTGAGCTCAAAGGTGAACTTGGTGTTAGAACTCGAAGTGCAGAGCAAGTACAGTTGAAGCTGGAAGGTGCTCCCGCAAGAGCCACGCAGCACTTTCTTTCGCTGACTCCGCTTCCAAGGAACTGCAAGTTCCTGGTGGTCGGCAAGAACATCTTCCTGGAGGTCTGCAAGCGGTAACACCTCAATCAAGACTCCTCAGGTCTGCAAGTTCTTTCACACACACAAGCACAGATGAATGCCTTCGATGTGATGTGCAAGCACAACAGATTGATGTAAACAAACTCGGTGAAACTACCAACCCCAGGACCTAAACTGCAAAACAATGGCACATCTCTGCTGCTTCGAAAAGTTTACTGGAAGAGGTCCTCAAGGAGTGCCTGGAGATGATGAGGTTCTTCAACATCAACCTGCGGCTGGGCTGCTCTTCTCGTTCCTTTCAACCCCCGGCCTTCAAAAACACATCGCCAAACAAAGATATGAGCTACTGTCAGTATTAGCCTTGTTAAGGGACCCTTAACGGTGGACGTAGGGGTCCCTCTGGCAGTTTAGTATAGTCTCTAACATGCTCCAAGGTACCCACGCCCATTAAGAAATGTAAGAAATATTATTGACTGTGGCTCATATGTATGTATATGTATATATATATACATATATTTTTATGGGCTCGGGGGTAAACCCCAAACTTCCATATGGGGAATCTACTTGGGTTGCCCCACTGAATTTCGTGCATTTCCCTTCTACAGCTTGTTAATAGACATTTGTAATTTCTTGTAAGATATATCTAGCTAAATTAAGAGCTTTGAACGTTTGTTTCGAAACACAACGTCTGTTTCGAAACCAGTGGGGGTTACCATTGAACCAAGGGTTTCCCCCTATGGAAATCCAGTAAACCATCGAACATTGAACCACTGAGCCATTGAAACATTAAACCATTCAACCAAGGGTTTTCCCTTATGGATATCCAGTGAACCATTGAACCATCAAACCAATTGTTTTCCGCATATGGAAGCCCACTGAATTATTGAACCATTTATGGGTTTCCATATCGGGACAACCCTTGGTTCAATGGTTCAATGGTTTACTGGTTTTCCATAGAGCAAAACCATTGGTTTAATGGTTTAGTGGTTCAATGTTTCAATGGATTTTCATAGCGGAAAGCCATTGGTGTAATGGTTCAATGATTCAATGGTTTATCCAACCTGTTTCGAAGCAAAACCTATGTTTCGAAACACACAACATCTTATTCGCAAAGCATATTGTATAAGGTAGGTTCAAGACACACGGCATCTTACGTATAGAAATATAATGTTTAAGCGAATACATGTTGCAAAAGGAAATTGCACAAAATCAAGAGGGCGTATACCCTCGTACCCATATATACATACATATGTATACATTTTTAACCGCAGGCCATGTGCGCTATACTGCCCAGGCCTGGCCTTAGCAGGCTGGAGTATACCAATGGTGTCCATCCGTGCGTCTACTTCCAGGAACGGGTCTCCTGGCCCAGTTAGTCAGCATTTTCGTATTCCGTTTGCCTACATTTAGGTCCGCCATGAAGGGACCGTCAGCCTGAAGCCCAGTATCGAGACTTCGCAGCAAGGTTTTCCCACCAGGGTTCGATTTCATGATCGAGGGCATCGTGTCTGCTGAGCCTGCTGCCTTTTTGATCAGGCGCTGGCCGGGTGTTTTTACCTTCTGTCGTACGGGGTTGGGATGTTACTTACAAGGCCTTCCATCGTTTATGCTTGGGTTGGACTTGGACCAGTAAGGCGTTACGCTCATTTGATGCGAGCATGTGCCTTGTGACATACTTTCTGGGCCAGCAGGACCATCGGGAGTGACTGACGTTTTTCCTGAGGGAATTGAGCAATTATCTTGTGCCTTGAACTAGCCAGGGTCTCAAGGACAGCAATTTTCCGTTGCCCGTCATTCGCGCTTTGCAGACATATCCAGCCAAACCATTTCAACCCTTGTCCAGGAACGGCGCAGTGCAGTTTCAGCGGCACAAGTACGCGAGTGAGAATTGGGCGTATGCATACCGACACACGCCCTTGGCACCTTCCCGCCTACCGGAGCGCTGTTTGGGAGTTTACGGAAAGTTTGACGAAGTTGAGGTTGCACTTGTTCCTTGAGATTGGGTATTGCTCTTGCCATTGAGGTCCATCTGTTGTTCCCGAGGCTTGCTAGATGTCATGTAGACATGCTCTGCCTGCCCGTTCGTTCACTCACCTTTTAGAGGGCCCAACTGCATTGCTTCAGGCGCCAGTCTGATCCTGTAGTGCTCAGTCATAGAGTATCTGTGTCGTTGCAGGTGCCCGACCTCAGGCTGCCCCTACACAGCCCAAGCTGTAACTGCAGAAGCCGGCCCAGAATTTGTTTGACCAAATGCAGAGCGTCCTTGCGCGCTTACCCAGCATCACTCCAGGTTTGTCCTCCAGGCTGAGGAAGGTATTTCGAACCAAATGTTACGGGTGGTCCTGACATCCCTGAAGGACCTCCCGGCTTACCACCAGCACTCCACATCTTCCCGGCGGAATCAGAGGATACTGGATCTGCAGGTTGGCAATGGGTCGTTAATCCAATCGGTGGGGGCTTGACCAAGCAAGTTTCAAACCTAGGAGGTATACCCAGGGTTCACGAATCCTGGCTCCTGTAGTTGGACGTCTGCCTGGAGAATTCCTTCATCTATTTGTTGACAAGTGCCCCATGCATTGGAGAACCATAATTCATTGCCCTGTGTCAAGAGAATTTCAGGTGATTCCGCTAACCATCCCTGCATCCTCAATCCAACATCTTCGCCAGAGAAATCCCTATAGAACCCCTAAAATTATAGCAGTTTCCATTTCATTTTCCATTATCCCAATATAACCCCCAATATACCCCCCAAACCATATATGTATATATAAATAGCCCCTATATAATCCTACCGGAGGGCCATGCCTCCCTGGTTTGCAACGTTCGTGCGCTCACCACGGAGTCCGGCGAGGAGGCTTTTCCTTTGGATTCGGAGGATGCTCGAATGACACTCCACTTGCAGATGCTGCATCTGGAGTATGCACAGTAGCGATGGGTATTTTGTTTTTTCATTACTGCTGCTAGTGCTAGCAGTCCTGCACCTGCACGCGTGAATTCCACGACGAGAAGAAGGACAATACTTCACCCTCCTGCTGCTGCTGCAGGTGCTGCCGCTGCCACAGTTTTCTGAGTCTTGTTCTGTGATTTTCGCGCTGGGAGGTCCCGAAGTTCAGCAAGCTGGACGGTGCCAGGCCCCAGCAGCTTGGTTCGCATCTCGTGTGTCCAACCCATGCTCTCCAATGACAAGTCATGTTTAGCAGAGTAATACGAAGAAGACTAAGTGATGCCAGTTGAAGCTGCCAATAGCCAAGCGAGCTCGATTCTCTTTCTGTGGCGTTTGTCTTGGAGAGTCAAAGAGGGCCTCTGGAAGGGTTCAGCTGAGCGTTAAACAGGATCCCATCGGCTTCAAAGCGAGTTGTTTCGGGCTTGGTAGCACCCAAAGAGCAGAGGACGGGGGCCGCAAAGCAGACGCGTCTGGTGACCTGCGACGTTCTCAAGGCCGCCTTGCAGGGGCCTGCTGAGCTGACAATTTTGGTTTGACAATGCAATCCAGCACAACAATCCGTAGATCTCGCGTCAGAGCACTTTGCCACTTATCAGGGGGGCCATTTGACCCACACCCCAAGCTGGAGCTAACCTTCGCATTCTATCTGATGTTCCCAGTAAGGGGGCAAAGCTTTACTTCGGCCCCAGATTGTTGATGTGATTCTGTTACTGGTGTTTGGGGGGGTCCTGCATATGAATCAAGGACTCATCTCATCTCCATGTGCCTCTGTTGCTATGGGCATGCTAGGTCTTTAGTCCTTGTTCTGCCTGGTTCTGTTGCGGTGAGGGGAGGTTGTGGCATTCCCAGGGGTTGTTGTGCAGCATCACGAATCTCGGTAATGAGAACTAGGAGCAAATACCTATAACTCTTTCTGTGTTCATCACTATATCGCTTTTGCCTGGAGACCAATCCGTAGCTGCAACCAAAAGCTTGGAACTCTGAATGAAGCCGCGAGCCTGTTAATTCCTCTTTTGTTGACTGGAGGAGCCAAACCTCTTCTGCACCATGCCCTTTCTACCGCTGCCTGTCGCGGAACCCTTCTCAGTGACTCTCGGCAAACGTCCTGGGCAAGGTGCGTAAAAGATAAGGCAAACCAGACTGTTCGTTGTGACGTTTATTTTCTGAGCCGGTCTTCAGGGCCTTCTTGTCTAGGATTGGTGGGTATGGCGATGAAGTGCAGTAGGTTTTTTTTGTCAAGTTTCTTTAGCTCGGATGTTTGCAGTTCTGTACTAATCATGTGTGAGACCATGTCCCCGACGCTTTAGGTGGCACATGCGGAGCTTGTGAGCGCTTAAGGAAGGCGACAACTGCTGTGAACGCCTTCCACCTTGGCGGTGCATCAGTGGAGAAGATGCCGCTTCAGCTCTTGAGCTCCAGCTGCAAACATCTCGTGTTTGGCTCGTGTCATCGGCGTTCCAAACACGCCGTCTGGGCTCTTTCCACAGCTCTTCATAGCCAGAGCTTGTAGAGAAAGCCGTGATGGAAGAAAATCCTGCCTGCAAGGAAGGCTATGCGCGAAGTCTGCTTCCGGGAGCTAACCGACCGAACGAAGGTGGGCTGATTTGGGACCGGGAGTCGAAGGGTCTGGGGTATGAAGACATAGCGGACATAGCGATGTGCTGGAGGAAGTGTCGGAAGTGTCATGTATCCGCAAGCCACTGAACTCCAATCCCAAAAACCTCTTGGCTTGCTGCCCTGTGTTGTACATCTTGCGGGCCCAAAAGGTTTTGTGCTGGTTGTATCCTTTAGACCTTATGATCTCAAAATCAAACCAACTTATGGTTCGGGCACGCCGCCCTTTAGCACAGTTCCTCCTCCCAGCTTTTTCTGCTGTTGATGCTGAACATAGCGGCAGTCTGGCTTCAGAATATGCTGCGGGGCTACAAGTGACACATTCAGCGGAGGGGACATGGGAGCTGTTACCTGGCCTGAGCAGGCAGTTCCAAAACTGAGTTCCCCCCCCGTGCTTAAGAACCCTTGAAGTTTTCCAGTTGGGTAGGATGTGCCGAATAGATTGTCCATTCGTTTCAGCGCTTGGGCAGTCCATGAATTGACGCTGGAGTTTCTCCTCATGTACTGGACGTGCTTTGAGCTATATAGTTGAATCGTGAGTGCAATGACTGTCCGGAATAGCATGACAACTTCTGTCGGTTTCTATGTTGGTTCTTGTGCCCAAGACAAGCTCTGTCAAACGGTATGAAATCCTTGCAGCCGCCCTACCATGTCACATCATCCATGTGCTCTGTCAAAATCGGTACACCCTGAACCACCCATGTGGGTAGGACACGATCATACCCCATAGCTAGGACCGAACAAAAACGAGCCCATCAAGCCTGATCCCTAAATTTTTCATCATTTCTATAACACTATAACACCCATGCAATCCCTCTCAAAAGGGCCCAGGCCTTCAACAACCCCCCACGAAGTCTTCAGCAGGTCAACGACATGGACCCCTTTCCGATGCCGCCGGACCTGCGTCCAGCCACATCCACACTCTCAGAGGTTCCTGCATGTCAGGATTGCACTGCCGGGGTTATAGGGGGTATATAGGGATACACAAGACATAGGGAATATGTTGCCCCAGTCATGGAGAATCAAATGGAAAGTGGAATGGACACTGAGCTTATGCAGGAATTTGTATGTATGCTAGGAACAGTACCTGACCAGTCCCCTTAGGGCCATGCTCTCGCAGGAACATACAGCTATTCAAACACCCACAAGGTTTACAACATACACGTTTAAGCCCACGACCCGATTACTTACATCTATTCCAGAAGTCATACTGTGACCTCCAAAGGCCCGCAACTTGATTGATCCTGATTGTATATGCTGGGTTGTTGTTACTTGTGACTGGGGTGCAGGGCAGCTACAGATCACCTGATGTGCATCATTGCAGGCCTTCTTTACAACCTCACGTCTAACCAATTTCGCCTGTAAGGGCTTACGCTGTACAGCATTCGCTCCTTGCACCCGACACACCTCATTGTACCATGGCCATCGTAAGTAACGATCATCAAATCCAAGCTGCTAAGCATAGCGAATGGACGGCATAGCAAATGGACGAGGCCAAGGACAACGCAAGGAAGTTGCCAAGAATAAAGTGTTCACATTGCCGAGGATAACGTATACGCATCCTTCTTAGAAGGTCCATTGGCCTCGCTTTCAAAATGGGCATGGTAATCAATGGTAACACCGTCTTAGTCCAGCACACTTGCAGTCGTCATGGAATCCACCCTAAACCCTAAACCCTAAACTCCAAACCCTAATCCCCAAACCCTAAACACCCTTTTTTTTATCGGGGAACCAGATTATGTTGACACAGATCTTCCAGCCTCGACCAGGTTGCAGAGAGCACCTTCCTCAGATCAAACTGACTGGGATGACGACGCAGAGAACAGACCGCATGGTGCTTTCTTGTGGCTAAGTTTGTTTCATGAAGCCTTTGAATCGGTAGACAACTGCAGTATACAAATGCAGGTTACAGTGTGCTGCAGTTCTCTTTACAGCCTTGTCTTCGAGAACTCGGAAGCCTTGATTTGCGACCCAAAGCTCTGCATCTACCTGATACTACGAAGAACGCCTACTGCTTCGTTCCACCAGTGGTTGCCCATCTTGTCGCTCTTGCAGACCGGCCAGACTTAGTAAGTAGTCCCAAAAGGTTGCTGGCCCAACTGCCGAATGAAAGATCTGGAAATATCAAAATGTCTGGTAAGCTGCGGTCGGGTTCTCTGCTGCGATCCTTTAAAGCACGTAGCGCGTGACCTGCATGGCAGCTGGGCAAGCTGTGTTCGAGGCTCTTCCTCTCTTTCGCTGTGTATCAAGGTCGGGTATCTCTTCCAAGTGGTCCGCCGCCATGGCATTGAACCACTGCCCTAAGGGTAAAGGGGGAAAGCAAGAAGGGATCCTACTATGCAGTGGTCTAAACGAACCGGAAAACAGGCCGCATTGGTACAGTGGTTGTCGCGGCAGTAACGAGTTGTGGCGACTCATACAAGGTGTAGCCAAATCAAG